TCCTCTTCGACATGCGAGACTGGACGGTACTAGCAAGAACCTCGGTGGTCCAGATCCGAAGGCGGACCGTAGGAATTTCACGATGCTTCTCACCAGGAGTTTTCCCGTAGAAAAAATTAATATGGAAAAATTATGTAGCATTTCCTTCACCGATATGTGAATCCAAGCCAAGTGATATATCTTCTACTGTTTCCCACGTGCATCCACATCCTTACTCTGCGTGATACAATAAGTAACATGCACAACAGGAAGGGCACTGTTGGTGTCTCGAGCCTCTTTCTTCGTTTCCTACTTACACAAATTTTCCAGGAGGCATGTAACCAAGTGTGTACACAGAGTCCTTAGCAAATGTCGTTGAAGGTGTCTTGTAAAATATCCGCGGCTTACAACTTTCAGCAGGTCTGCAATTTCCAATTGGCTGGTAGGATGCACTGTAAGTTGTTTCAAAACTCATATCTCCTGCAAGCGAAAGATTGTCTGGCCGTTGCAAAGACTTGCTGCGACACTGTGCAGCAGTATCTGCGTCTGTTCCAGGATGCATGTAGCTCAGTGTGTACACCGAGTCCTTAGAAAAAGGTGTTGAAGGTGCCTTATAACATTTCTGCGGCTTAAAACTTTCAGCATGTCTGCCATTCCCAATTGTCTGGTAGGATGCACTGTAAGTTGTTTCAAAACTCATATCTCCTTCAAGAGAAAGATTGTCTGGCCGTCGCAAAGAATTGCGGTGACACTGTGCAGCAGTATCTGCGTCGGTTACAGGATGCATGTAGCTCAGTGTGTACACCGAGTCCTTAGCAAATGGTGTTGATGGTGCCTTATAACATCTCTGCGGCTTACAACTTTCAGCAGGTCTGCATATCCCAGTTGGCTGGCAGGATTCACTGGTAATTGTTTCAAAAGTCATATCTCCTTCAAGAGAAAGATTGTCTGGCCGTCGCAAAGATTTCTGGCGACACTGTGCAGCAGTATCTGCGTAGGTTCCAAAATAAGATAGTATGTATACAGTGCCGTCTTCAAATGGTACAGTTGGCTTCTTATATACATTTATAGGCTTGCACGACTTCGCGGGCTGAGGTTGAATGTACTCATATCCATTCCTACCGAATATATTACTTTTCATTTTATCTGAAGTTCCGTTGCGTTTGTGAAAGCTGCCGCAGCACGAAAAAACATTTGAATTCATGTTGTTCCAGCAGATTAACTAATTATTACGCTTCTTGTTTGAAGTTAAGACGGTGTTCGAATTGTCACTCTTACAAATTGCTGCACACAGGTCTGGTCCCTTTACTTAGCTTCGTAAGAATGAAATCGAGATCACTGTCTCCAAAAATACCGCTACTGCTCTGCATGAAATCGTCGTCTCGGAAACTTGCTCTGAATATTCCGTTGGATAAAAAAGGATGTCTCTGTATTAGTTCAATTACTAGAAAATTCAGGCATTTTTGGCGTCATTGCATATTGTTCGTTCCTAAATTCCGCTACAGCTCTGCATGAATGCGTTATCTCGGAAACATGCTCTGAGCGTTTCGTTTCATAACAATGGATGTCTCTGTATTAGTTCAGTGGCCCGGAAATTCAGGAGTTTTTGGCGTCATGGCATATTGTACGTGCCTAGATGGTACTATTTCTAAGAAGCCAAAAGTCGTATTTAAATCGAGTATGTAGTGTTGTTTTTTTAAGTTACTCATAAATCATGCCAAAGTGGCTTAGCCCGTTATTCTTTTATTAATCTCCCTGTCATTGTGTTCTTCTATATATGACCTCTGCCCTTGGACTGAATCCACAGGTGCCGAATTGCCATCCTCTGTAAGCCGTTCCGATTTCTGGATGAAAAACAAACATACCCATGTTGACCACATTTTGATGGACACTTTGGAGCACATAAGTGTCCTTAAATAACTTATGAAAACAATGCATGGTGGGATATCATCTGTTACTCGTGACTTCAAAACGAAAGGAAAATCGCCAACAATGAAAGACGGAAAGGAAAAATGTTGGCACCGGAAATTTCAGGGTCTAAGCCTGGTTTGTAAGAAGTGCTGTATCCTCTAAAATATGACAACATTCTTTCTGCCGATTGCCATCCGAGGACTGCGAGTTACATGTTTGAACAATTCCAGAGATCTGCGTGTGAAACAAGTAACAGATCCATCATGAAGAATTTTTTTTTTTTGTAAACTGCTTTATGGACATTCAGATACTACAAACTTATTGACAATTTTCTGCCTTGTATTACAATTATTAAGAATTGTACACGGTAGGTGTTTAGTAGGTCACTTTTATCGACACTTCCCAACAAATTATTAGGTCTTCTGGCCACTTTCGCTCAATTCTTCTGTGGTCGTATTGATTTAAAAGCGGTTGGAGCAGTGGGTTGGGGTGGTTAGCTAATTTGTTTAAGTGGTTGATGGTGTGTTCTTTGATGACTTCTGTGAAGTATGGAGCTTTGAGGTCGATGTGAATGGTGTGATTAGATATGTACCATGGTGCTTTTACGATGAGACGAAGAATATTTGATTGAGTTCGTTGGATGTTATCTGTATTTTATTTGCTGGCGCATACCCAGAGTGGGATTCAGTATGTCCATATTGCTTTGATGGCTGATTTGTATATTATCAGCTTGTTGTCTTTGGATAGGTGTGATTTTCTCCTGTAAACCAGTATGGTATTTTGCTTTTTTGAACCATTTGTTTCTTTTCTTGAGGATGTGTTGTTTCCAGTTGAGCTTGCTGTCAATGGTAAGTCCGAGATACTTTGCTTCATCTCATCGTTGGATGATAGTGTGGTTTATTTGAGTCGGGGGGCATTTGCCTTTCAAAGCGTGATCGTTGATTAAATGGATTTTGTTTCATTAACCTGGATTTTCCATTTTTTAGACATTTACTCTGAGTATGAGATGGTTCTGTAAGTTAGCTACTTCTGTGATGGGGTTATCATGTGTGGCGGATATAGCCGATGAACAAAATGAATCCTATCTTCCAGCCGATAACAGTGGAGTTACTCGCTTACATATGTAGCATTCTATAAGTCACCACGTCACCCACCTGGATGTTTTGGCTGTATTACTTCGGTGTATTATATGTGTTCGTTTTGGGGTTAACTTTAGTGTAATCGTGTATGGGATAGCTCAGAATATGACGACACTTTGGAAGCTGGTTTTGCCTGTAGGCCTCAGATCCTGGTTTCAAAAGCCTGTTACAACACATTTTTTCAGTAACCTGCAGTAAGATCTATTTACTTAAACGACAGCCAAGAATTTTGCTCATTAGTTACAGTGTCTTGATGACAATAAGAAATAAACTAATACAGGATTAGAGAGGCATCCCATCCACCACTATCATATCTTTGATCTGATCAATACAGGTATCTTGGAAGGCTTCGCCCCCTTCCATTCCCTTTTGATCGTTGCTTGCTTCTCCTGCGTGTGGTCTTGTCCTTCCGGGACCTAGACATAAAACATTCAGCGCTCTAATTTATACAGCACGAATGGAATAATCATACTGTGGGATCCTGATAACAGATTCACCTCAGTATTTTCCAGTTTGATTAGTTCATATTCAGCAGTCCCGGTGAAAGCCAAATGCACGTAACACACATATGGCCTCATTTCGCGTTTCTTTATCTGGGCCCTTACCCGCAACCGGTGGTCGGAAATTCAGTAGCTACAGTTAATGTTTAAGGTAAAATGTTGAGCCGTAATTTGCCTAGAACTTGGTTCCACACACACGGTTTGTTCAAAATCGGTCTGCCTCCACAGCGTGCCATTAGATACATTGTGTTGATGTCAGTAAAAATTAAACTAATGCAGGATTAGAGAGGCATCCCATCCAGAACTGTCATACCTTTGATCTGATCAATACAGGTATCTTGGAAGGCTTCGCCCCGTTCCATTCCCTATTCTTTGTTGCCTGTTTCTCCTGCGTGCGGTTTTGTTCTTCCGAGACCTAGAGATAAAGAACAGCGCTCTAATGTATACAGCACGAATGGAAAAATCACACTGTGGGATCCTGATAACAGATTCTCCTCAATATTTTCCAGTTTTATTAGTTCATATTCAGCAGTTGCTGTGAAAGCAAAATGCACGTAAAACATAAGCGGCCTCATTTGTGTTTCTTGAGTTAAGCTCACACCGGCATCCAGTTCTCGGAAATTCAATAGCTACAGTTAATGTTTAAGGTAAAATGTTGGGCTGTAATCTGCCGAGAAAGAAATTCCACACACACACACGGTTTGCTCAAAATTAGCTTTGCCTCCAGCACTTGCCAAAAAATTCTGTGCACTCCACTGAAATTCTGCTAGTAGCGTGGAGAAACTTCACATCGCAGATACTGTTACCTCTTTGAGGCTGCGCCAACCCGTGTGTGGTGCATATTGGTGGCAGCATAACTACCAAAATCTGTTTTACAATTTCATGTATTTGCACATTATGACTCATATATATCCACCTGCACAATATGTGTGTACTGCTTCCAGACTTTCAAAAATGAACTTGTTATGGCAAAAAGAGCGTAAGGAGCTGATGATAAATGAACACGGGACGCGTGCAGTAAAGTGGAAAGCCTTCGAATACCCCACGAACAAAAATGGTTGTTTGCCTTGGAGTCAAACACAAATACGCCTCTTAAGGGTGGGGCAGAATGGGAAGTACGAGAGCTATGTGCTTACGTTGAAACATAAAGACATTCAGCTGGAATTGTATACATTTTTTTATTTTTTGTAAAAACGTGCCACCGTGAAAGCAAAAATTAAAACAGTGTTCAACTGTGCTTTTTACTTCTTCCCAAAAACGAATTCATTCAGCGAATGTATGTTTTCTTATAGATCTAGCACTAATATAACAATATAACTAATATACGATTAGAGCGGACTCCCTTCCATAATCCTCTTACCTTTGATTTGACCATTACAGGTATCTGGGAAGGCTCCTTGTAGTTGTCCTTGTTGGTTCTTGCATTTTGTTCCGGCCTGTGATATTGTACTTCCGAGATCTAAACAGAAATAAACAGCCAGCTAACTTAATCTGTACAAAACGAAGGGCAATAAAACAGAGAATAAAGTAACATAAGAAAACCAAAGACTCACTATGGACTGAATTTTTTCTACATAAACTGTTCCTGTAATAATTGAATGGAGTATCCGTACCTACAATTAGTGTTCCAGCTAATTTCGACGACAGTAATTTGCACTGAGCTGGTGAACACCTACAGCGCTTTGCTCAATTTCAAACCTTTATATCGTGAAATATGAAAGGCTGTTCAGTGAGGTTGGGGATGTAGTGGGAAGTAGATGTTTCACACCGCATAAAGCAACCAAATGGGATCTGCATCAGAACGTTCGTGATTAACATTCTTACAATTGCACCAATACAAATTTGTGTTGAAGTTAAGTAATTAGCATCACACATATATGCACCTTCATAATTATTTCGTATCTTCCAGCAGTATGAAAAATCAATCAGTGATACCGAAGACTAAGTTATAAGCGAGACTGTGAATGCATTTAGTAAAACCTAAAAGTAGGGCACATAGAAAGGAAGGGTAAGACGATACAAAAACGAGGAAGATTTCTGAGTTAAATGTAAACCACGGAATATGTGAACGCACCACTCACCTGGACGTTTTTGCCACACGTTTTCGGTGTATTGTACGTGTTCGTTTTAGGCTTAACGTCCTTGTAATCGGGAATTGGATACTGCAAAATAGGGCGACCCCTTGGAAACTGGCCCTGCCTCAAGGCCATGCTGGATCCTGATTTCAAAGATGCACTGGTGGTATTATCTGGCTCTTGAAACCTCACCCGGCTGTCCTTTGTGGTAATTCCTGCCACAGAGCGAGACAACTATTACTAATTACGTACATTTTCATTGCTCTGTGTAATGAAGTCCACGAGAAAGCGGAGCCCTGCACTTGTATAAATGATTTTCAATAACAACTCCAAAATTCTTCTCTGTGTTATCTTATTCTCTTTTGATACATGGCGTCCTATAACATATGTTATCATGAATATTTTCACGTGCAGGGTTGACTTCAGACGCTTTATGAATGTGTGAAATTTTTGATGAGTAGAACACCCGAAACTGGAAGCACTTACATTGATATCGCTGATTTCATACTCTTTAGAAATTACTATATGCTTCTTTTCTACTGCCTACAATGTCATCTCTAGTCGTTGCATGGCAACAGCATAAACAACGATAATTCTTCGGCATATGTGCTCACGTCATTTCTGTCCGGTGGATATCCTTCAACTGTTATGTCAGTTTAATTACAGCTCTATCTTTCCTCAGCAACACTAACGGAGCCGAATTGATACATTGCCCAATCATCTTGTTTATAATTTCTCGACAAATTGCAAATAGAATTTTCAGTTCTTATGTTGTTGTTTGCGTATGCTTTGCGACTGGAACCTGACTGCCGAGCTCTTCCTAAGAACGGCCATCTATTTATCAACCATTCTAGCCGTCGTTGCATAGCCAAAGTTACACATGATGTAATTATAATTCGACTCATGAGTGTGAAAAATCAATAAGCTATTTCGTTTTGTCGGTTACTATATG